TGATTAAGGGGGGGGGAAGCAAACAACATGTTCCTTTCTATGGCCTACCCTAAAATTTGAAGACGGTATTTTGCTGTATAAGAGTATATAGCATTAGAATCCAGGATGATCTGTCTGCAGGCTGGGGAAGGCTGAAGGGCAGGGGATGCCCAGGTCTCCATTTCCTTGCTCGGGAGAGGGAGCGCTACTCCCATTCCACACAAAAACAGAGGCTTAAGGCTTAAGCCACAATTTTGACCTACCACTTGTGCCTTTATGGAAGCCGCATGGCGTTATCAGTGGGGCTCAGGGGCTGCACTTGGCTGGGCTYTAGGGCACATGTAGGACCTGGCCACAGTTATGCCATCGGAATAGACTYTGCCTTCTAATCCCTGGCTCCAGATAATCATCCGGAAGGGGACTACGGGTTTCTCTCCGTTCAGTTTCCTGCAATAATAGAGTGGGGAGCAATTCATTTGGACTTATCAGAATATATGTCTTACAGTTGTCCATAAAACAAGGCTAAGTTGCAAGAGAACAGGAGGCACATTTCTTATGCTTGCTTTCTTATTTCTGCTCTCAAACCAAGCAGCTGCCGTGCTGCAATGTGCAGATAAATCACCTTATACTACCCTGAAAACGTGAGCAGCGAGCGATTCCAAATGCTCAGGCTCACACTGGATCTTGGACCAGTCTCCAGATGTCTGTATTGAGGTCAAGGTCTGGGGTCACACCAGTGCTAAATTTACAAGTTACTTATCCTGCAACTAGGCTGCAGAAAAGAGACTTTATGCTCCTCACGGGCACCCCCATCATGCCCTAAGCTGAGCTGTCCTCCCAGGCTGGGATCTGGGAAGCAGGAGGCTTCCGCGCAGCAGCCTGAGCAGTGCCAGTAACTCCTCCAGCACCGCAGCCTCCATGGGAGGATTAATCATCATTAACTGCACAAGAAGCATGCAAGTATTTCCTAGTGACCACATTTCCCACTGAAAATTCCAGCTTAAGTAATCGAAGCAGACGTTGTTGGTCCACAGTCAGTTCTGATCTATGTTCTGTGCAGCAGTAATTTAAGGAGAGTGCTTGCTGCAGCTTGCGTCATGCAAAACCCAGGTCATATTCCATAAATTAACTAATTCTGTGAATGAAACGGCGGTGCTGCTTCCAGCATGAGCGGGAACACCCATTTAGCATTACGCTACGCGATGCAAAGCTAAAGCAAGCAGCTGCCTCCCACTGTCACTGCTGCCAACCAAGTAACTCCATCCAGCAGCTTGCTTTGCGGCAACCYGGCTGGCTACCACCCTGCTGCTCGGGCTCCCTCTGCCTTCCCCTGTAGCACCCGCAGACCTTTTCACTGCCCCTTCCCACCAATCCCATCTAATGCTTTTGTTTTTTTTAAAAAAAGTTTAAGATCAGCACTGAACGGTGATGGATAACATAGGGAACGGGTAGCTTCAGAGATGTGGAAACTGACTTCTGCCGAGACAGGGGWATGTGGGCTGCCAGCCCCAGCTGTTGCAAGGCCTGAAGGGGAATGTCAGTTTTGCTTTTGCTTTCAAGCAAGTGCTCCTGATCCTCTGATGAAAGGCACTGGGGAAGTTTCTAAAAATACCGTGTTGCCAAAGAGCCTTTCCCCCATCCCTGCCAGACAATCTCTTCCCAACGCTGGTTCTCATCCRCTCGCAAAATTACACAAATCAGTCAAGCCCAGTCCTAAATGATTCACAAATCCAATTACGTCTGTTTCCTTTTAAAGCAAGCTGGGCCTAGCAGGCCCGACCTTCAGCGTTAGGCCCGCACATGGGCCAAGCACGCAGCTCCCCACATGAAGGGCAGGGCAGCCTTGACCTGCGCCTCGGGAAGGTGGAGAAGAGAAGCCACCAACGCAGCACGTGGAGGGGCGAATGCCATGGAGAGAGAGCTGCCGAGATRCCCGTGTGGGAGATGCCTATGTGGGAGCCAACACAGCGAGGAGCGAGGCTGCGGGGCTGGGGGCSGCTGGACAACTGGGATGGCCCTGGGACTCCGCGCAGCCACCCGGCTCCAAAACAGTCAGTTCCCAGGTTTCCAAACAGCGTTTCTCAGGCTGTTACTTTAGGAATGCGGGTATGCACCTTGGAGAAACGCAGGGCCCTGCACAAACACCTCACATTTCATACATACTTTTGCTGGGATAGCCCCGCAGAACCCTGCATGGCTCATACGGCCACGTGGGTTTTTTGACCTTTGTAATGGCCAGGATTTTTGTTTTTTGCAACCTAGACATGCTGATTATYTGAGATATTTCATATCAACTATTCTTAAAAACAGGTATAAAGCTCTAAAGTAAGTGGATGAACATTTCTAAGCATATGCCAATCAAAAACCCTCAATTTCATAAAGCGTTCATTAAAAAAAAAAGAGATACGACTGTAGGAAATGCCTCTGATGGAAAGTCACTACTGAAGTGAACAACATACAGCTTGATATTTTCTTCAACAGCTGAAAACTATTTGCTTATCTGTTCTGCTGGTTTTCACCAAAGGTTTCAAAGTTTTATTCTGATGAAAAGCAACACAAGACAGTTATTGTTTACTTTTTACATGCAAATTAGAAAATATACATATGTAGCATGCATTTCACAGTATAAATGCAATAAAAACAGCATGAGAAATTTGCTGAAGAATTTGATAATAGACGTAAAGAAAAACGATAGGGGAGAGMATAAAGACATATAGTTTCTATTTATTCTGAATATAGTCTCATCTGCATAGTGTTCTGAAAAACACTGCAGAGGTAGAAAGGACTCTGGCAAGTCAAGGCAAGCAAACAGGGTAGTGTGACCTGTTGCTGGAGCAYGAGAAAGGGACTTAATAGTGACTGCCTAAGTCACTGCAATCATGTCCAGTGCTGCACAAATTGAAACAACTTTCTCCAGCATAAACACTTGGACCTCTATTGGTTTAAAAAGCTATAAAAGCTGATTTCTAAACAATGAAATAATTAAGTAGTTTAAGCTGACCCACACAATACAAGTTTACATTTTCTTTTCTGCTCAAACATCATAGAAAAATACATATACAACACTTCAAAGGAAACCTCTTTCCAAGTCCCAGCTTTTAAACATTCTAAGCAGAACACCTCATGAACACATTCTATTTGAACATTAATTTTGCTTACAATTCATTTCCTTCCTCTCGCCTCCATGTTCCTTGATTCTTTGCCAGGCTCTGAAGCAGAATCTTCTGCTCTTAGCAATCTGTCTGCCTTCTCTTACTAGAAGGCAAGCCCTATGACATCAAAAACTTTACCACGGCAATCAATTCCTATGGCACAAATTGATTAGGACATCACAGTAAAGAAAACAAAGATCCCATTCTTATGCAGATCTTAGTAAGTATAATTACTTAATATGAACAAGCAAGTGAAAATGCAGAATGCACAAGGCATAACATACACAAAAGCTGCTTGTTCATTTTTTCTGACAGAGGTTAATTTAAAAAACAAAGCTGCAGACAGCACCCCTTCAGCCAACTTAGTCTTTTAGAGCATTAAAACTCTGCTTCAAAGCCCTGCCTCTCCCCATCCTATTTATACTAGCAAACCTCCTGCTGAAGAGCTCATTAGAAAACAAAGCAGCCATTCAGCCCATTCAGTAGGAGCAAGGTCTCAGCTAGGGGACGGTGCCCCTTTGGGTGCTATCGCTTCAAGACTGAAACTGTCTGGTGAGAGGCCAGGGAGAAGACGGGGAACAACCCTGGGAGGAAAGCAGGACCTGCCGACAGACACACACACACCCAAGCCTTCCAGTCACCAGCCCACAACTCCTGGCAGACCATGGTCACGTTGGCTGGATGTCACTTTTGAAGCATATTTTCCTAGTGGATCAGCAATTTTGGCTACTGAAGATTTGCCCAGAGCTGGGCTTTTTTGGGCAAATATCCAAATTCACTAAGATTCTTTTTTTTTTTTTAATTGAGGATTTATCTTTAAAATCACACCTGCTTGAGAGCACAACCAGGATGTTCCTACTTATCTGCACTTCCCTGACACTCTTGCATCATATCCCCTCCCCAAGCAAATTGAGATTGCTTATTTCTTTTTTATATAATGCCAACACATTTTCCTGTCTTATCACGATAGCTTTGGATATGTTAACTAGTGAGCTAGTTAACTAGTAAACTAGTTTTAGGACCTTCAGTCCTAAGACATTAAACTAACATGAGTAGCTTTAAGAGGTATGTCACAGCTTAGAAAGACAGAATGCCATGTAACTCTCCAAAGGAGCAATAACTATTCACCCCTTAAGAATAAATCCAAAGTCAATTCTAATTTGCGGGATGTGAGCCTAAGAACTCTTTGCTAAGAACGCTTTGCTCTTAAAACTATCATCTGTTAATCACTTGAGAAAACAAGACAGACATGTTTGATTGATATGTAAAACAAAGCATTCATTTTATATTCTCTGCACAAGTATTTGAGGAAAGGTTTCAAATGCAAGGCTAGAAAGCCAAAAGGATTATATTTACCTTAATGATGTATCACAAGAAAATATGTAGAAAAACAACACTCTCTCTGTGTTGCTATTATGGTTCCCACGGCTCTACTGAGTCACTGAGAAATTTCCATTAATATTACCCTCTATGATTAAAGAAATTTATTTATCCTCAAATCCACGCTAAATATTTATATTTGCCGAAGCCACCATGGATTAAACTCATTCTTTAGCAATGTTTAGTTAAGAGATGAACCAGTCCAGGCCTGTACATTATTATTTGCATAACTCTGACAGAATATTGAGGTCGCCGCAGAAGTCTCTCCTGTTTAGGAGGCCTGTTGTGCATCACCAAGCTTTCAGCAGAGGTGTGCAAATCCAGAGGAACTAGTCCCAATTACTGCATAATACTCTGTCAGGTACTGCTCCATAAATCCACTAAAAACCAAAGCTAAAAGAGTAAACATTATAGCTAATACATGGCACGAACCCGGTGTTATAGGTTAATGGCTTAGACTGGTTCTAACTGACCTAACTGGATCGGTACCTTGTGAGGAATGTTGATTTTGGGCAGTCTCTGTCTATTTCCAGCGAGATGCTTTGGGCTTGATTTACAGCTGTGCTCCCAGTCCCACTCACAAGGAGACGGCAGTGCAGTAGTCTGCTCCCTGAAAAATAAARTCTCATTTAAGTCCAGTGTAACTTCAAGGGAATGACTGTGAAGCCTGGAACCAATGAAAGAAGATCTTTAAGAAAGAAGATTTTAGAGACGAATGCACGTATATAGATATAAATCTCTGATTATCCCAGCGTGCTTTAGTTTTTGTGGCAGGCCAGCAGAAACAGTGTTTAAGTGCTTAAAGGAGATATCCAGCAACATTTACCCTGGCAGCAGCCTAACAGTAACTTCGGGACAAGCACCCGCCCTCCGCAGGCATCCAGGCAGGCCGGCACTCCAGGGAACAATGCATTTTTCCAGCTAAATAAGAGGTACACAGGAAGCATGCTTATCTTCCATTTGTGGCACCAGCCTCTTCCCCAAGACGTGCTGCCTTTTTTTTTTTTTTTATTTTATTTTATTTTTAACTGTAATTTGGCCTTACTCTTGAATTACTCAGTTAAAACAAGGCTGTGCAAAGGTGAACTAGTTTAACCCTTTCCTGAAGCGTATCCTAAAAAAATAAGAGCGACCGGCTGATGGAAGATTTTCTGATGGAAGTAGATACAGAAGCACTTTTCTTCCCCCTCTTATTATTTTAAACCACTCTAATCTTATCTCTTAACTTCTCTCAAAAAGCACCTTTCCATTGGAATAAGATCTTTTTCTAGGGAGACCTGACCATCTTGTTCATATTTGTAACAGATTTTGCAGCCTTTTTTCCCTTGATTTAYGTGTACTTCTGGTTAGTAACTCAGAGCTACATCTAGCAAGCAGGAGAGTCATGAGAAAGGTATGAGAAAGAATTATGTACCTGCTCCAGTCTGAGTAAGTGTAAGATGAGGAAGTCCCGTGCTCAGAAAAGGAGATTCTAAAGTTTTAAGGTGTTAAAAAATCATTTGGTCTCAGATGAGATTCTTAAAAATGATCATAAATGTGAGTTATTAATTTGCTTATTCCAACTGTATAGATCATAGTCTTGCGTCTGCAAACAAGAACAGTGTTCTTCAAATGATGGCTCATTTTGTGACTACTCTTAGTTAGCTCTAGCTAACTCTGCCACTCAGGGAGAATTAATAAGAGGATATAAAGGATCCCTAATGAAGTTCAATGACAAAACCTTTTTTGGCTTTTAGTGAATGGCCAGAATTGCAAGTCTGTAACTCGAATATATTTTAAGCAGTTAATATTCAAAGCAAGTACAATTGTACACTTGCAACCTCTCCATGAAAAGAGGGAAAAGCCTCATCAAAAACACTGGAATTAAAAGCAAGTACTAACAAGGTAGTATATTTTTCATTTGGCTATTGACTAGTACTCACTACTAGATGAAAGCTAGTAGATGAAAGCTAGAAATCATTCAGACACTTAAGTTGTAAAGCAAAAGAGAATGGATGCTAAGGTTGATATGTGTCATTTTTAAATGGTGTGTTTTGAGTTGTGCCACAGCCAAACAAAGCAGCTCGAAGCRCAAAGAGAAATTCTGCAGGAATGCACCACTGCATTCCCACACAGCTCCTTCAGGGATCACGAGCCCTCTCCTGTAACTCTTTATCAACATGTAAAGAGTGGCTGCAAATTCTGAGAGATTGGCATGCAGATAACCCGGTCAAACAATCAAAGGAAGTCACAGCTGCAGGAACACTGGGAGCACAAGGAAAGTGGTGTCTAAATGCATTGTGCTAAGGACACCTTTAAATGAGCACATTTTAACAACAACAACAGTCAAAAAGCACTCATTAATGCAACACCAGGCCCTTAGGATCAGCTCGAGGAATTTTTGTATCAGTAAAATAGTGGGAACTGTTAGCAACTTTTCCTTGTCCTTTAGGTTGTGCAACTAAAAGTCATATGGATGCTTTATTTGAGTCGGTATTACTGTTGTTGTCACCACTACTGGAGGGGCTCTTGCACAAAGATTATGAACAAAATAAGAGTTCTGCCAGTAACATTTTTTTTTTTTATTCCAAGCTTTTATTTAAAAGCTTTCTCACACTAAATCAATCAGACCCAGCAGAAACATATTTWGTTTGTGGTTTTGAACAAGTTTCTCAGATTTTATGTTCCTCTGCTGCCTCTTAAAGAGGAGCACAAGATTCTGATGCAGTRCAAGAGCAGGAGGGAAGAGGATGGCTATGGGCATGGACATCCCTCCACTGATGCTGTGTAATCACAGGGGGCAGATGGACGCACAGGACAATTCTTTGTCACAGGGCCACAATCTGTGAGCACAGGAGTTTTTAATGCTATTTCTTTTTAAGGGAAAATGAGTTACCAACAAAAGAATTTTTCTGCAGTCTAAGTTGTATGGTACCAGAAAACACTTTGAATTACTTTTTATTCAAAACAGAATACTCTTAATTTCATAGTTTGAACATTTAATAATCTTAATTGATATCCAATTTACTACATCTCCTTTGTGAAAACAACATTCCTAAGGAATAAGAGAAATTCTTATTTTCTAGCAGAAAAATGACATACACGGAAGTGTTTTTCTTTTCCACTTTCAGAAGCTGCTGATTCTCCCATAGTTAAGAATTTAAATACATATATTCTAACAAAGTGGGAAGAAACCTACACATACACCAGGAGTAATCAATGAATACAAAGTAACAATTTCATTTTCTTTCCAGTCTGTATAGACCTGCTTATCTCTCTTGTTCTTAAACAAATGCCTAATTCAGAAATTACACTTCCTTCTAATTATCCTGCTAGCAAGAACAGTAAATGCAAAAACACCTYTACGTGAAACCACAGGGTTTAACTACAACTGCAGAAGATAAACTGCTTGGAAAGTACATAAAAGATTACTTGTTTGTACGAATGACTCTCCCCTTCTCTCACAGGAGCTTTCGAATCGTGTGTGTCAAGGCTAGCACGGGTTTTCCCACAGCTACTCGGTTATCTCTTTGGTGACTTACCTGGGATGTTGCCAGAGGTTTGCATGTCTACCCTCGGGAAGCAGTTCCCTTTTGTTAAGGGGTGTGATGCCGATGGCTGCTTCTAAAATAGTTATGTATTTCTTGTACCGCATTCTCGGGAGCTCCGCGCCTCCTCAGGCCGTCATCATCCAAAGGCCGTCATGATGCCCGCTACACGAGCTGCTGCTTTTCAAAACGTGCCGCGGGTTTCGAGCACAAAAACGGCRCCTTCCCCCCTCTACCAGGCATGGAGAGTTAGCAGGAAAGAGAAGCCAAAGGAAAACTCCTACCAGATTCCCCTGAAACGTCACTGTTACATAATTTGATCTTTGAATAAGACACTAATGAAAATGATTGAAGAGACAATCACGGGCCTAAGCCTGGCTGGATAATGCACACTCTCCAATTTACTAATCCTTGGCTAAATCTCTGCTGCTTATAATCTTCCAAGTACTAATGGAGCACTAGGTAACTTCTCTCTCAAATCGGCGGAAGGAATCAGATCTGCAGAGTAAAGTTGAGAATTTTTTGCATATCCCAAAAGATAATAATAGCTTTTGCTTCCACAGTTCTCCTCAGCGCCAAGATTTATCCATGATCGGATCAGAAGGGACATGGTGAAACACTGCACAGAATTAAGCAAGCCAAAGACTCCATTATGATACCGACTAGTGATGCAAACGTGTCTCACAACACCAAAAGCCTCCTTCTGTGTCAAAATTGTTCCAGCCACGAGGTAAATAACTGTGCACACCAGTGACCCCCGGCACTAACCTCAAGCATGAAGACAGACGTGCAAGTTGAAATAATAGTGACTTTTAGACATGCTGCAGCGCTGCCAAATTACAGTGTTAAGAGTCTTGCTCGACTGCAAGAAGTCTAACAAAGTAAGTGGTTATGCTACATGGATACCGACTTACTACTTGTATATAACTTTATATATTGCTATTTATATTATTTTGCAGACACATTTTATATAAAGATGCAAAAAGAACAGATGGGACGGAAAGTCTTTCTCCCAAAGACTCAGCCACAAACCCCTCTTCAACCATGTATTTTAGCTATTGCTTAGTATTAAAATGCCTATTTTTCTGTTGTGATGACTATATAATATCACATATTTAGTCACTTCTAAGTGGAAATTACAGTTTCTAAATTTAAATGTAGAATTTTCAGCTTGACACAACACATTTTTCTGTAGTTATTGTCAGGTCCTGTGTTACTTGCTCTTCTGTATTACTTGCACCCTACCTGGTGCTCAATAGTGAGTTGAATTTACAGCACACACGGGATTTGTACACACTGTACACACTGACCTATCTGAGGTGAATTATTAAAAGTCAATCTGATCAACCGATCTTAAAAGAGTAATATAAAAATTAATCAGTTTACAGATCCAGGAAGTACATCTACAAATAACTGACAGAAAGGAATATCCTGTTTAAGCCTACCCAGCTGTTCATCATGGATATGTAAGCAATGTGAAAAAAGGAGTCATATTAAGGAAAACACCTAATATATTAAACACATATAAATTAAGTGAAGCTATTACTTTTGCAGACCCCTTTCTCCTTCCCCCCACCCAAACAAACAAACAAACCCACTGRACTGCAACTTTGAACGTTATTATACTAAGTATTAAGGAGCTTAAGAAAGTGYCACGTTAAGAGAAGCCTGTAATGCAGCTAATGTCACCAGGCCTGCAACATCCTGACTTTTAATAGCTTTTGCACCTGCATTGCTGAGGCCACATTGTTTTATTTTTCTTTGCAAGCATGTCCCAAAAAACACACAGTTTAAAAGAAAAAGAAGAAGAAGAAAAGCGCAAAAATGTTTTAGTGCAGCTCTGATCAACCTGCTCTTTCTTCGGGCAAGGGCAGTTTTGAGCTCAGGTCAAGCCCCAGGACCAGGTGCTTGCAGAGAGGGCGCACAGACAAACAGACCCAGTTAGTGCAACTGGCTCCCTCCTCTTGGCTCAACTGCTCATGGATCTTCAGATGTCCAGRGGGAGTCAGACTGACTCACAGGTTATCAACTTCCTTCAACTTTGTTTGAAAACAGAAATTCAAAGCTCTTGGTACATCCATTG